CCATGTAAAAGATGGAATTTTGGGTTTAAAGAAGTGATTATGGAATAGAAATGAGTTTAAATATGTGTATGGAAGTTAGGAATATTAAAGGAAGTAAAATATGAAGGTTTAAGCTGAAATGAAGTGAATTTCGAGCTCAAAATAGGATTTCTGGGCTAGGGGAATCGATACCCATTCAAGGGGAATCGATACCCCCTCAAACGAATATGAATTTTCAGAACGCTAGAGGGGAATCGATACCCCCAGGGGGGGAACCGATTCCCCCATAATGAAAAAAAAAGAAGAAATAAGAGAGACTAAACTATCAATCCCTTAAATTGGTAGGCTATTAGAGGTTAATTTCAAGACTTAGGCATCTGATAATCATCTTGAAAATTTTGCTTATGTAGATATTGAGCCTAATCGAGTTCCGGAACCATCGACAAGTAGGATCAATCGAGGGAAAGACAAAGAAATCTAGGTGAGTGCATATGCATAGCATGAATATGTATGTTATTCAGTTCTAGACTTGTGATAAGTCTAGATTCAATATTTTGATACATGATATCATTTCATATTATGATATATGACATGAATCCATACCATATGCATTATGGGACATGAATATGCAAGAAAAGTTATATGAGTTATGTGATAAAGGTATGAAAATAATATGTCTACGTGATACAAATTAGATAAATTGTGAAAGCCCATGTTATGTAAATGAGAACTATAGGTATAGTTGGCATGCCAAGGGTAGAGGGTCTATGTGGTCCTTCGGGACATATATGTATTCTTTGGAACATGTGTGAGGTCTGGTGAGACACATACTTGATCCTTGGCATATGTATATGATTCTTAAGGAATGATATGTGGTCCTTCGGGGCATATATGTATTCTTTGGAACATGTGTGAGGTCTGGTGAGACACATACTTGATCCTTGGCATATGTATATGATTCTTAAGGAATGATATGTGGTCCTTATGGACATTATTATATGGCACTACGGTGCAATTCTACGCGGCACTCTGGTGCAATTCTAAGTGGCACTTAGGTGCAATTATACGAGCTGTGGTGACAGCATAGTGCACAACCTCACAATACTCACATACCTTAGGTTCTCTGTATGGTACCATGGGCTAATGAACTTACTAAGGCGAACTTATGAATGTGAATTTGATAAGTATATGTGTAAGAAACATGGTTTTGGTTATTGCATTGTTTACATACATCTTATTACTGCAACCCATCTCATTTTGGCAATTACTTTATATTTATTGATATTATTATTATATTGCCTCACTAAGTCGATGACTTAGCATGTGATTGTTTCACACGTAGGATCCGATAAAGTAGACGATCGAGGTTAAGCAGCTGGACAACATTACTCCTGCAACTATCAGATCAGAAGCAACTTAATCAGTAGGTCATTTTATTATGAAAATGGATGTTGGCATGTAATTAAAGAGTTAAGTTCTGTATGCTCTGAATATTTTGGTAAACTTATATTACCATATGTATATTATTGTATTTTTCGTAATATAAGTTCAAGTATTTTACTATTATTTGCAATGAGTTGTGTTTTAAAAATCAATGTAATATCTCTGACTCGTATCCGGGTTGGGATACGGGTTGGGGGTGTTACAGATTATCCCTATGATCTCGTTCTTCCCAGCATTAAAAGCATGATATAAGGGACATATGAGTTTAGGATGTATACTTTCAAGGTCCAGCTTTGCTCAAGGACTTACTTTCATGACTGTGTATAATGCTTATTTGTTCACTCGGGGGAGAATGCAAGGAGGCGTGATTGTAGGAAATATCTTTATAGTTGTGTCCTAGGTCTCATATTGCGTAAGGAATCATGCAAGCAGGGTGATAACTATGAATATGCACATGGTATTTTTGAATCTTGGTTTCATCCTGCTCAGTATTGAACCCGTCTATGCAAGGATAAGACAAATTGCACCAGAAGGGTATGTTTCTTTGCTCACAAACAAGAGGAGCTTCGTCCCTTTTATGCTTCAACAAGTTCAGCTTTTCCTTCGCCTGGATCATATGGAGCTAGTCTTGAATATGGTTCGATGAGCCAACTTACTCCTACCTCTCCATCTGTTATAAATCCTTCAACATCAACATCTGCACCCTTGCTCTCCCTGAGACCTCTTCTATCGATTGAGGGATATGGTCGAACCAGTCTAGCATCATACCTCCTACCATGCAGCTTCTACTAGTAGCTTGAAAGCTGCTCGAAGTGCTCGGTGTAAGGATTTAAACATAAAAATATCAGGGGAATTAAATAGGTATGGAGGTGTGAAGCCGACTAATCTTGATGATCTCTTTGGATATTTTGATACTATCAACCTTTGTTGCAAGGGATTACACTCGAGACTGCTTCTCCTCAATTGTAATCACCGACTGAACTTCAAATGCATTCGAATATTAATTAGCTGCTCCCCGCTAGCTACCGAACAAACCTAGTATCCTCTTCTGTAATGACATCTCCAAACTTTGGGGTTGAATCATCTAGAACAACTGCAACATCAGTTTTAAGTTTGAAGCAGACCATGGGTATTATCGAGCGCGCTACCGTAAACAGTCGTTTTATTAGGGTATTCTAAACCAGCATCTCCAGTGGGTGCAGTGCCTCTTAACCTTTCAGATTGGAGTTCCCCTGATGAAAAACTAGACTGGGGTATACAAGGATATGAACTTAAAAAAACCCAAGAAAACCAACGTCTCGCATGTTCCTAAATAGTAAATAGTGGCAGCAATTGGGCAAATGCAACACTCTCAATGCCATTAACCGATGATGAACCAGAAGTGTCTTGAGTTCAATCTCACATGAACAATTTTACAAGGACCAGGATTAGTTCATTACCTAAAAGCAAACCTGGCCCCTTTGGAAGAAGAAACAATGAGTAAAACAAACAAATTTCTACAAATATATCTATTAATCGATTTCTGAGGTTTATTCATATGTTATATATCAGAAACTGCTGCATTAAACATCATAATCTCATGAACTCCTTCCCATATTCTAACAAGAAAACATATGTCATCAGCTTCAATGTTAACGTCTGAACATTACCAAGGTTCATTATAATTCCATCATTTTATCATCTGAATTATATATAGTTACAGAAGTTCCATCATTTGAATTATATATAGTTACAGAAGGAAACATCTCTAAAAGATACAAATCTAAACATTTGAAGTCTCATTATAATTCTAACATTAAAAGAATCCATTTTTTATTGTTCCTTGCTACATAAGCACCAACAAAACATTACCTCAATGCATAAACCCTACTTTTGACGCTACGTTCATAGAATAAGTCGATTGTAGCACTCCCAAGGTTAACAATTTTGGGTCGACAGCCATCTCCGTCTTTCTCTTGCTGTGTACTTTTTAGTTTAATTTTATATATAATTATAAAAGAACAAAATTTATATATTACTTTAATATTTATCCGTTTAAAGTTTTTAAATAATTTATATTACTCTTAATAAAAATAAAATGTAGATACAACTTAAACATGTACTGTCTTAGTATCAATCTTTACTGTGTCAAAGTCCTATAAATATTTAATCGCAAAATTAAGTACACATAAATCTATACTTATTAAATAATGTTTATTTTCAAGTCACCGACATTTCTTTTCAGAGCATGTGGAGGGTGTTGGAGCTGATTTTTCAGAATTTATAGTTGTCAAAACAATTTTGGATACTTTTTTTGAAGCTGAATGGGTGAGTAAAGCTGAACTAACAGTCGAATCAGATTCGCAGGTGATTTTGCATTGGATCGAAAATTCTTTATCTAGGTCTTGACATTGGTGGAAGATCGTTGATGAAATCAACCCATTGTCCCGTGTCAAAGGAGGTATGAAATTTGTGTATACACCATGATCGCATAATGGAATGATCTATCATTTAGTTAAAACAAGTTTGAATTGGATTATATTATTCTTTACTACATTGTATCTGATTTTGTGTCTAGGTCATATATTGATTTTGCTTTGGATTGTCGTTGAATATTTGATTGTATTACCGAGTTGAGGGCACTCTTTTCCTTTATTAGGACTAGGAAGCTTTTTAATGAAGCGTTTCATTTCGATTTTGATATTATGATCTAATATTTATTTATACATGCATTGCATTTTATCTATATTTTTAATTTTCTGATTGCCGGAGGTCTTCCACGGAAATTACTCTCAACCTGGCATTGGGGGCAGCCTACTACCCTACCTCCCCTTACCCCATTGCATATGGGAATTGGGTTTTGTTATTGTTGTTGTTGATCTAATTAATAAAAAAAATATCCGTGGATAAAAAAGACACCAAAATGCTTTTATATTATATAGTATATTATTTTCATGTATAATTAGAGGTGTATTAATAATCAGTTAATATAACTAAAAAAATTAAGATCGATGATAAAACCTACTCTAAAAAAAATCGAAAAGCCAAAACTATTTAATCAAAAAAAATAAAATAATGTATATCATTATTTTTGTTACGTGTAAATGAATTAAGTTTGGAAATATAATTGTATATGAGTTAATAATAGGTATATTATCTGGGTTTGAGAATGCACTTAAGAAAATGAATTTAATATATTTATATAGAGTGAATCAATTCGATTAGTGATATAAAAATAAATAAAATATAACTTTAATATGTTTTAACTGATTCTCCCATTTAATTCAAAATTAAAAATGATTTACTACAATATACAACTAATTAGGGTTGATAAAAATAATAGATCAAGTAAAAAGTTGAACCAAACCCACCGAAAATCTGCTAAAACAACTAGAAATTGGATTTTCTTCTTATTATTTTGAAGGCGATAACTGTAAATAGTTAGTATTAGGTAGAAAACAAAAACAGAAACAAAAATTGTTTGCCAACTTTGTCTCCAAGAACATTTTTCTAACTTGAAATTTGAAGTTCGTTCTTTGCATTCACAAAATATATAAATAAACGATAAATAATGAAATCTACAAACAGCAACGGCGTCCATGGCTGAACCAGTAGCACCACCACATCCTCTTCCTCACGGAAATAAAACACATGAAATTTGCCTCACTTTCCCGTTAAAGGTAAATTCCTATGGCGTATGGGAAAACCTGGCTTCTCCATCGGAAGTTTTCACGTATTCTTTACCGCTTTTGGAGATACAGATACTCTTGATATTCGCCGTCACACATCTCATTTTTGTCATCCTCAAGCCTCTTGGAGTTACCTTCTTTGCCTCACAAATGTTTGTAAGTTGATTAATTACCTCTTTCCTTGCTCTGTATATATATTTGCCGGGTTAACTTGCACGCCAAGTAAGCGAAACCCTACCTTGTTTTGTGATTAATTTCTTTCGTGTCAACTAGGCTGGCATGATCTTGGGGCCTGCAATAATGAACAGAGTAGGAGGGTTCCTTGGCAAAGTGTTTACTGAAGAAGTAGGTATTAAAATGCTTGATAATGTAGCCATCTTTGGTCTTGCCATATTTTTGTTTCTGATGGGAGTGAAAATGGACGTCAAGATGGCATTTAGGACAACAAGGAGAGCCACACTGATAGGCATTATGTCCATGTTTTTTTCCTTTTGTGGTTGGTTTAATTGCTTACAAGGTCTACAGAGTACCTGGTGAAACTGCCAAGTTAAGACTCGAACGCTTTTTGGCAATAACTGTTGAATCTTTAACAGCATTTTCGGTGGTCGCGTGCCTTTTGAGCGAGCTCAAGATTGTAAATTCAGAACTGGGACGACTGGCTCTATCGTCAACAGCCATCAGTGACTTGTGCAGCTTAATTGTAGTTTACTTCATTACCTTGGCAAAAAAATGGGCTGTGTCGCGGTTGGTGGCGATATGGCTTGCAGGACTTAAGGTTCTGGATGTTAGCTTTAGGGTGTGGCGTATTTACCTATTGGCTCAATGAATCTCCTTTATTCGGGGTTTTTCTCTTTGGTTTTGCTGTCCCCGACGGACCACCCATAGGATCTGCCCTGGTAGACAAGTTTGAATGTTTGGTCAATGGGTTCTTTCTAGTGGTCTACGTAACCACATCAACAATGAGAGTTGATCTAACCGAGGTGTTCAATAAGTCTCCAGTCGGATTTTCAATCATTTTTCCTATTTTGGCATTCCTCGCCAAGTTTATATCCTGTTTCGTAGCTTCATTTTGGAACATGATGACGTGGAGGGACTCATTGGCTTTAGCTCTCATTATGAGCAGCAAAGGCGTCGTGGAGCTCTCCTATTTCTCCTCTTTCAGAGACAGTAAGGTACAGTATTAAAATCTCAATCCTTGATTTTGTTTCAATTAAGCACTAATTTTCTTTTCATTTCTTCCCCAGATGATTTCAGAAAAAACTTTTAGTAAGTTGTCCCTTTTCGTTCTGGCAAATGCAACTGTAATCCCAATCCTGGTGAAGTATCTTTACGACCCTGTTTCCAAAAAATATGCGGCTTATCAGAAAAGTAGCTTGGTGCACTTAAAACCCAATGCCGAGCTACCAATTCTCGCATGTATCCATAGACCTGAACATGTTCAACCCTTGATAGATGTGCTCGAAATCACATGCCCTACAAAACAGAGTCCTAATTTTGTTTATGCACTTCACCTCATCCAGCTTGCCGGTCGTGACTCTCCTGTCTTCATAGCTCACCACGAAAATGGAGCGGTGGGTTCCTTTGAACACATTGTTGCTTTCAATCATTATGAGCAAAACAATTGGGGATTGGTCAAAGTAAATGCATACACAGCAATCTCTCCGCCTAAACTCATGCATGAGGATATCTGCAATCTGGTACTCGACAAGCAAATATCCTTCATACTTCTTCCATTCCATATAAAATGGTGTATTGAAGGTTCAGTTGAAGCTGAAAACAGTGTGATAAGGAACCTGAATCGCAACGTCCTGGATCGAGCCCCTTGCTCTATAGGGATTCTTGTTGACCGCAGAAGAAAACCGTCATTGTCGAGGTCATCATTCTACTCCATTTGCATGCTCTTCATGGGCGGCAAAGACGATAGGGAGGGTTTAACATTAGCCAAACGCATGGCCCGTGACCCTAGGGTGAAGTTAACCGTCATCCATCTCTTTTCTGAAAAAGACCGTGGCAATATCGACTGGGACACAATGCTTGATGCTGAGATATTGAAAGGTATTAAGAACAATGAATTTAGTAACATAACGTATATAGGGGAAGTTTCGAACAATGGACCACAAACTGCGACAATCGTTCGATCGGTTGTGGATGACTTTGACTTGATGATCATAGGTAGACACTACGGGGTGGATTCGGTCCAAACAAAGGGTTTAACGGAATGGAGTGAATTCCCAGAACTAGGTATTATGGGAGACATCCTTTCATCCCCAGATTTAGATAGTAGGGTATCTGTACTAGTTGTGCAACAACATCATCATGTAATTGTAGGTAGACATTAGTTTTGCACAGCAATACAAATATATGTGTAACAACATTCAAAACATAAAAATTCCTATTATCAAATATCTCATTTCTCTATTACTTTGTCTCAAAGAAAAAAATAATACAATATAATTACCTTTGCATTACCACAAAGTTTTGAAGGTGATTATCATGCAGATTGAAGCTTGAGTTTGAGGAGGTTATTCCTTGAAACTTTGGGTGTAACATCCTCCATACGGGGTTAGTGATCAAATTGTGAAATTTTAAAATTTAGTGACCAAAGTAGATAAATTGAATAGTTGAAAGATTTAATAGGAATGTTTCATGTAGGATGGATAAGCAAAGAAGGGAAATTAAGAGGGCAAAGGAGTCTTTTAGTAAGAGAAATAATTAAATATTCCTTAAGGTTATTTTATAAACCATGTGGAAAGCATTTCAGAGAAAACAAGGTTCAAGATATTTCTCTTCTTCTTCTTCTTCTTCTCCAACTGTGAAGCTTGCAAGCAAAAGTGAGTTGTCTTCTTTTGGAATAATTCTTATGAGTTAAGCATGGTTTTGATTAATGAAGATTTAGGAAAGATGATGGAGAGAAACAAGGACTTAGAAACTCAAAGAATTCTAAGTTAAGGGAGATTAAAGGTTATGAGCCATTGAATGAAATTTTGGATTAAAGGTCATAATAAGAATTAGAAGCTGGATTTGACTTGTCATCAAGCTAATTAAGAAGGATGAGGTGATAGAATTAAAATTAGAACCAGTTGGAATTTGAGTAAGATTCTTAAATTCTATATGGAGGATTGGTTTTTTAAGTTTTAGAGGTATTGAATGGATAATAATTAGTTTAAGTAAGTGTATGAAAGTTAGGAATATTAAAAGGAGTAAAATATGAAGGTTTGAGCTGAAATGAGATGATTTTCGAGCTCAAAATAGGATTTCTGGGCTAGGGGAATCGATACCCCCTCAAACGAATATGAAATTCCAGAATGCCAGAGGGGAATCGATACCCCCACAGTATGGAACCGATTCCCCCTAAAGAAAAAAATAAAAATCAATTCCTTAAATTTGTTTAGGCTATTAGAAGTTAATTTCAAGACTTAGGCATCTGATAATCATATTTAAAATTATGTTTATGTAGATATTGAGCCTAATCGAGTTCTGGAACAATCGACAAGTAAGATCGATCAAGGAAAAAATAAGGAAATATAGGTGAGTGCATATGCATAGCATACATATAGTATTATATTCAGTTCTAGACTTGTGATAAGTCTAGATTCAATATTTGATACATGATCACATTCCATATTATGATACTTGACATGAATTCATATTATATGGATTATGTGACATGAATATGCAGCAAAAATTATATGAATTATGGGATAAAGGTATGGAAAATGAAATGTTTATGTGATAAAGGTATAGAATGTTATGTCTATGTGATATAAATTATGTGAATTGTAAAAGTCTATGTTCTGTAGATGAGAACTATAGGTATAGTTGGCATGCCAAGGGTAGAGGGTCTACGCGGTCCTTCGGGATATATATATTCTTTGGAACATTTGTGAGGTCTTTTGAGACACATAATTGATCATTGGCATATGTATATGATTCTTAAGGAATTTATATGTGGTCTTTCGTGACAAATTCTACGCGGTCATTCGTGACAAATTCTACGCGGTCCTTCGGGACCTCTGTTTTGAAAATCGGACCGGACCGGCCGGTTCAACCGGTTCAACCGAGAATCGTTGCTTAGTCCGGTTCAATCTAAACCGGTTGAACCGCTATTAGTGAACCGGCCAGAATCGCTGAACCGTTCGAACCGGACCGGCTGAAAACCGGAAAAAACCGGAAAAAAAAAGGGAAAAACCGGGATTTTTGTTTTTTTTTTTAAAAAAAAAATTAAACCAAACAACGTCGTTTGTTAAACGAGCCAAGTCGAACTCGAGTATTGTTGAACTCGACTTGAACTTGAAAACTTTAAAAGTAAGCTCAACTCAACTCAAACTCACAAGCTAAAAATTATCAAGTTCAACTCAAACTCGAAATCTAATATTGAAACTTGAACTCAAAAAAAGCTTGAACTCAAAAAAAAATTAGAATCTCGATTGAAGCCTAAAATTCGAGCTTGATTGAAGTGAAAGAATAGTTCACTCAATGCTCACCAAAAGGCTCCATGATTTTGAATGCTAAATTACCTCTATTATTTATAGAAGTTAGTTGTGATGCGCTTCTATGTTTCTTAGCAATGTGAGATTGTTTTGTTCTCATATTTTTACTCTTTAGACTTTTGGGATGCTCTTCTATGTTTCTTAGCCATGTGAGATTGTTTTTAAAAAAAAAAAATTAAACCAAACAATATCATTTTGTTATGATTTTTTTAACCCCAAATTTATTTTTTAATTATAGTTATATAATTATATTTATTATTTAATATGTTTTACCTTAAATATTATGTTGTAGTTAATTTGAATCATTTTGTTTCACTTGATTTTATGATTTTTAACTTATATATGTTATGACTTGCTTTGAATAACACTTGTGATATAAAAAATTATTTTTTGTATTTTTATTTAAATTTTTAAATAATTATGACGTCGTCCGGTTCTTCCGATCGGTCGGACCGGTTCGACCAGTTGAACCAGTGAACCGGTAGCATGACCGGTTCGCTAACCAGTCCGGTTCTGAAAACCATGCTCGGGACAAATCTCTACGCGACACTTAGGTGCAATTTATACGAGCTGTGGTGACAGCATAGTGCACAACCTCACAATACTCACGTACCTTAGGTTCTCAGTATGATATCATAGGCCAATAAACTTATTAATACAAATTCGTGAATGCTAATGTAATATGCTTACGGGTAAGGATCATGGGGATATAAACTACATTGATTAAGTATACGATTTCATCTCATTTCATATCATTATGGCATTTTCATTCAGTTCCTTGCTATTATTATTTTTACATTGTCTCACTAAGTCGATGACTTAGCATGTGAGTGTTTCACGCGTAGGATCCGAGAAAGTAGAAGATACAGGTTAAGCAGCTGACAGCATTACTCCTGTAACTATCAGATCAGAAGCAACCTAATCAGTAGGTCATTTTGTTATGTAAATGGGTGTTGGCATGTAACTAAAGGGTTAAGTTGTGTATACTCTGAGTATTTTGATAAATTTGTATTAATATATGTATATTATCGTATTTTCTTAATAAAATTTTAAGTATTTTGTTATTATTTGTTAAGAGTAAAGTTTTAAAAAGGTAATGTGACATCTTAGATTCGTATCTGGATCGGGTACGGATTTGGGGTGTTACATTGGGTTTGTAAAATAATGACATTGGCAATATATAATTTGCACTTGCCCAGCTTTTTCTCCTAAAGGAACCCGGCCAGCCGTGTTCCCAATATTTGGCTTAGCCACCCATCCAATTTGTGCCTTTGCACATATATATTTCCAGCTTTATCAGCTGTTATAGGCTTTCCATAAAGTACAATTTTCTTTATTAATACTTCAGACAATAATACTTCATAAACTTCTTGTAAAACAATCCAATTTTCTCCCACTATAATCATATTCATAAAATTAAATCATAAAATATTAAAAAAATACTAAACCATAAACATCAATAAATATTTATAACATTCACAAATAAAAAATCATAAATAAACATTCTTACAATATATATCGAAAAGTTTAACTAATTAATATAACTTTTAAAAAATATATTATTATAACAATTAGAAGAATTCATATGGTCGGTTCGATTAATAATGGAGCTAAACTATTTAAAATTAAATTAATCTTAAATATTTTAATTGTTAATCAAAATAAATATTTTCTAAAATCATTAATCTATGAAAATTAAATTCGATAATCAAAATTTATTATATTTTTTAATCAAAATAACCTTGAAGAGTTAGTTTATAATTCAAAATCATACAACATTTCTAATCGTAGATTAAAATCACAATACACAAGAATAATTTACATATATTTTAAATAATATTTAGATAACATATAATAAAAATATATATTAAACATTACATAAAAGATAGCAAGGGAAGTTAACTAAACAAAATATCAAAATATAACAATATTTTAAATTTTCAATTGTATCAATTGAATCTACCCAAATGATCTTCATTTAAATTATCCATACAAAACATGTAATTTCAAAAATAACATAAATAAAAGATATTAGAAAAAATAGATAATACAATTCATTCAATTAATTGATTTTAAGAATTAGGTCATCATGCCTTTAGATTGTAAACGATAGTACGATATAAAATATTTAAATAAAAAAATCATTTAGTTCAAGAAATTACAATCGAGTTACTCAATTAATCAATTATAACAATAAGATCATGTGCAATCTAAAACCTAGTTGTTAATGGTCAAACAATTCCTAGCTCGATATTTGTTATCTCTTTAACCTACAACAACCCCACCATCATCTGAATCTTCGAATGAAACTTTCAAATTTTCGGAAGTCCAAAATCCAAGTTAGTAATTTGTAATTAAATTAATTGGGTGACTCATTGTAGCCTTTTGAAATATAATGACACATCTATAAATTATATATTTTTTGAATAGTTTAGGGTTATTACAATATAGTATCTATTAAAAAAAAATTCTTAATCATTGACAACGTACACATATTCGTAGACACAACTGTTTGAATCCAAAATCTCTAGGGATAACAACACTCCCTCTAACCACTGATGCCACTTGATATGTTCACCATCTGTAAACGTATTAATATTAAATGATCTATAGTGTAATTTACCTAATAAAAATAATTAATTTTATTTCTTACGACACTTTTTATTGTTCGGTTTATATTTTAAAGATATTGTGATCTTTATTAGAAATGAAAATAAATCTATTAATTATCGAAATAAGACGATAACATAATTTCAAAGAGTAGGAGGAAAAAAGTGTCCCTAAAATATTGTTAAACAGAAAATAAAGGTACATCAGTATCAAAATTTTAAATCCGTATAATAAAAAAAAGGAAAAAAATGAAATTCATACAAAAGAAAAACATCAAAGAGAATTACATAATCATGCCATAAAAGGATTTGTTATATTTTGATCCATATTATAATTGGTAGTTAGGTTAGATTTTATTATAATTATTTTAGTTAAGAAAATTTTTGGTGACCAAATATTTGATTTTATAAATAAAGATAATGTATTTAACTTTATGAGAGAGATTTATTTTGAAGAGATATAATCTTTTCTAGAATATCTATAACTTTTGGGATTTATGCTGTTGAGATAATTTTTTAGGGATTGAGAGAGTTTTTGGAATACACCAGGTTTTAGTATCTATACCGGATTTTAAGATACATGTGATATCATGTACTTGTACTCTTCATGTTCTCCATATTTATAGAGGATAATTGTTCATCTCATCCATAGAAATAGGTAAGATCAAATTACGTTAAATATTATCTCATATGCATGTTTTATTTTATGTTGATAGTTAATTGTTCTGCTTACAAATTCTAACAAGATTAAAACCATAAAAAAGTCAATTCCTCACCGAAGTTGTATTATATTTCAAGTTACATTTTTATTCATTTGGGTCTCTAACTTGAATATTTGATTATCAATTGGGTTTTTAATTTTTAATAGAATGAAAACTTATAGATTTGTGCTTAAAATTTATACTTAATTTTTATTACTTTAATTAGTGTTAAACTGAATTAACTAATAAGAAATTTTTGTTAAAACGTCGATATTTGGGTTGAACAAAAATATCAACCGAAACAAAAATTGAATCAAACTACAAAAAATAGACTGAAAATATATTAAAACAATTAAAATTTATATTTTAAAAAGAATTTCGACTTTAATGACTACACATTGTTAGCATTACCCAAAAACAAAATTGTTTGCCAACTTTCTCTCAAAAGAAAATTGTTGTAACTTGAAATTTTCGTTCTTTGCGTTACGAAAATATATAAATAAAGAAAAAAGAATGAAATTTAGAAAACAACGACAACGTTCATGGCTGAAGCACCATCACCACCACCACATCCTCTTCCTTGCGGGAATGAAACCATTGAAGTTTGCATAACCCTACCGCCCAAAGTAAATTCCGCCGGTATATGGGAAAACCCAACTTCTCCATCAGAAATTTTCAGGTCTTCGTTACCGGTTCTAGAGATAGAGATGCTCGTGGTGTTCTTTGTCACACATCTCATTTATGTCATCCTCAAGCCTCTTGGAGTCACCTTCTTTGCCTCACAAATGTTTGTAAGTTGATTAATTACCTCTTTGCTTGCGCTCTCCCTGTCTCTTTCTCTCTCTCATATATATACATATATTTGCGATATTAACTTGCACGCCAAGTAAGCTAAACCCTAGCTTCATTTTGTGATTAATTTGTTTGGTGTGGACTAGGCGGGCATAATGTTGGGACCTGCAGTGCTTGGGAGAGTCCATGACAAAATGTTTACTAAGGAATTAGACTTTGGAATCATCGATTCTGCAGCAACGTTCGGTTTCGCCATATTTTTGTTTGTGATGGGAGTGAAAATGGACTTCAACATGGCATTTAGGACTACAAGGAGAGCCACAATGATAGGCATTGTATCACTTTTGTTTCCTTTTGTGGCTGGCTTAATCGTTTACGAGGCCTACAAAAAACCTGATGAAATTTTGACATTAAGAATGGAACGCTTAATGGGAATAACCATTGAATCTGTAACTGCGTTCTCGGTTGTAGCATACCTTTTGAGCGAGCTCAAGATTGTAAATTCAGAACTGGGGACGACTGGCTCTATCATCGGCATCCATAAGTGATTTTAGCAGCTTATTTCTAATTTACATCACTTCCTTGGAAAAACTTTGGGTTGTGTCACCGTTATCCGCGGTAGTGCATGCATTAATAATGCTTCTTTTCATCATTGTTGTTTTTTTGGGCTTTCGTCGATTGATGTTTTGGATGATTAAAGTAACACCCGAAGGCAGGCCAATCAAGGGAGCACACATTGTAATCATCATGATGTTAGCTTTCTTGTGTGGTGTATTTACCCATTGGCACAATGAATCTCCATTCATCGGGGTTTTTCTCTTCGGTTGTGCTGTCCCCGACGGACCACCGTTAGGATCTGCCCTGGTAGACAAGTTTGAATGTTTCGTCAATGGTGTCTTTCTACCCATCTACGTAACCACATCAACAATGAGAGTTGATCCAATCGTGACGGTCGCTGATCCGTTTGCACGCAAGTTTTCTTTCGTTTTTCCAATTTTGACATTCCTCGCCAAGTTTATATTCTGTTTTGTCGCTTCATTTTGGAACATGATGCCGTTGAGAGACTCGTTAGCTTTCGCTCTCATTATGTGTAGCAAAGGCGTGGTGGAGCTCGCATATTTCTCAAGTTTAAGGGACAATAAGGTCGGTATAGAATTAAATTTTCAATTGAATCGAGATGTTTTAAATAATCACTGATTTTCTTTTAATTTCTTCCCCAGATGATTTCAAATGAAACTCTTAGTGTGTTGGCCCTGTTCATTCTAGTAAAGGCAACTGTAATCCCAATCCTGGTGAAGTACCTTTACGACCCTATTTCGAGAAAATATACAGGCTATCAGAACAGAAACTTGATGCACTTAAAACCCAATGTCGAGCTACGAATTCTCGCATGTATCCATAGACCTGAACATGTCCAAGCCTTGATAGATGTGCTCGATATCACATACCCTACAAAAGAGAGTCCTAATTTTGTCTACGCCCTTCACCTCATCCAACTTGCAGGTCGTGCTTCTCCGATCTTTATAGCTCACCATGAAAATCGAGCAGTAGGTTCTTTTGAAAACTTTGTTGCTTTCAATCATTACGAGCAAAATAATTGGGGATTGGTCAAAGTAAACGCATTCACAGCAATCTCTCCGCCTAAACTCATGCATGAGGATATCTTCAATATGGTCCTCGACAAACAAATATCCTTCATACTTCTTCCATTCCATAGAAAATGGTGTATTGAAGGATCTTTCGAAGCTGAAAACAATGTGATAAGGAACCTGAACCGCAATGTCCTGGATCGAGCCCCTTGCTCTATAGGGATTCTTGTTGACCGCAGGAGAAAATTGTCATCGTTCAGGTCATCCTCATACTTCATTGGCATGCTCTTCATAGGCGGCAAAGACGACCGGGAGGCTTTAACATTAGCCAAACGCATGGCCCGTAACCCTAGAGTGAAGTTGACCGTCATCCATCTCTTTTCGGAAAATGACCGTGGCAATGTCAAGGACTGGGACACAATGCTTGATGCTGAGATATTGAAAGGTATTAAGCAAAATGAAGTTAGTAACATAAATTATGTGGGAGAACTTTCCAACAATGGAACACAAACCGCGACGATCATTCGAGCAATTGTGGATGACTTTGACTTGATGATTGTAGGTAGACGTTACAGGATGGATTCGATCCAAACAAAGGGTTTAACAGAATGGAGTGAATTTCCAGAACTAGGGGTTATAGGAGACATCCTTTCATCCTCAGATCTAGACACTAGAGTATCTGTACTCGTTGTGCAACAACATCATGTAGATGTTGGTAGACATTAATTTTGTACGACAATACCCATAGTTCAGAACTTAAAAAGTCCTACTCTCGAATCTTTCGTTTATCTAAAATGTTGGCTAAAAAACTGTAATACCCTAATTTTGTCCTAAAATTAAAAAGGAAACAAAATGTAAGAACTAAGTTCGTATTTGTACCATTTGTATTTAAGGGGTATAAGAGCTAACTTGGCTTGTAAAAAAGGGGCCCCGGTTTTGGTAACCCCTGTTTTTGTAACCCAGAAAAAAAAAGCAAATGAAAAAGACTGAGCTCTCTCCTTCACGTTTATGTTTTTCTTTTCTTTTTTCAAGTTTATTCCTTCTTCCTTTTTAGTTTTTGTTTGTGCATGAGTATAAAATAAATAATAATAAAGAAAAAGAGGTAGAGGGGTGAGCCGTTCGGTTACGTTTTAGATCGAGTCCTCGCCGGCGCAAGGGTGGTCGGCGTTGGGAAGTATGGAATCGTTGATCTCATCGGTCGTTTAGGAAGAAGTTGGGTTCGGTTTTTTTTGTGTGGGTATTTGTTCTTGAATCTTAGTCTATATTTAAGATTATAGAGAAAAAAGGGGTTGTTTCGGTTAGCCTTAGGTCGGCCACCATAGTTGGTGGCCGGTGAGGGGAGGTAGCCTTCTCTGCTACGGGGAAAGAAGAACGAAAAAAGAAAGGGGAAGCTCTTTTAGCATTTCACGTGTTCTGGAATAATGTTTTTTTTTGGGTAACTGTTTTGGGTAAATTGTATGTAAGCCCTTCCTATTTTTGTCCGTTTTACGTTTTTGTCACCTTTTTCTGTGGGCTAATCGTCTATAAGTCCTTCAGTGTGTTTTACATTTCTGTCACTATTGGGGGGAAATCACCTTTAAGTCTCCTGTATTTTAGCCCTTTTTGCACTCTAGTCACTAATTTTTTATTCTTTCGAATATGCATGCAGATTTTATTAACTTTTAATTTAATCACCATTCTGCAATGTTATTTATTTCTAACTACTAATTTTATTTTATTGCATATTAACTATTGATTTTTTATTTTATTACATTCTAACCATTGTTTATTTATTTATTTATTGTTGTTATTATTGGATTCGACCTTTTGGTGACTAGATCCAGAGTATGATCCATATCATTATGGTTCGAACTCTGCTAACTATTAACTTTTATTTATTTAACTTTAACCATTTTTGTTTATTTATTATTTCTAATATTAGATTCGACCTTGTGGTGACCCTACTCGGGATATGATCCGTATTATTATGGTTCAGACTCTGTTAACTATTGACTTTTTTTATTATATTTAACCATTGTTTATTTATTTTTGTTTCTAATATTTGATTCGACCTTGTGGTGACCCGATTCGGAGTATGATCTACATTATTATGGTTCGGACTCTGTTATCCGTTAACTTTTCTAACAACTAACATTTCTAAGTGCTAATTACTAACTGTTAACTTTTTATTTATTTGTTTGTTTTATTTCATGTTCGAACCATGTACGCCCTTGCGACAATTCATCTCGGGGTATGACTCGCATCATTTACGGTACGGAATACATAATAAAATTCGATATTAACATTGTATTTTTATTGCATTTTATTTTTGTTATTTAATATTATGCATTTTTATTTTAGTTATTTAATTTCAGTATTTACAATTTATTTGTTTTAATGTTCTAATCGTTTATTTATGTCTCTTTATTTTTTCTGTACTTTAATTTTATTCGTTTAATTAATGTGTTTTATTATTTGTTTATTTTACTTATATAATTTAATTTTTGCATAGTTAAATTTTGTTTCATTACATTTTACCATGTATGGATATTATATATTTGTTTGTATTATTTATGCATGCATATATTCTTTGCTCTTGGGAATTGGTTTTGAATTATTGTACAAAATGTTGGTTTCATTCATTTTAATGCCATTTTACTCGAATATTTTCAAGAATACTTATTTGTAGAATGGGTGTGGAAAGCACTGCTTGGTCGAAGTAGTGCGATCCGATACGACATTCGAACAAAATGTGAACTTTAAATAATTCGAAGTTATTTTTTTAAAGTGCTAATAATTTTTTTATTCAAATGGCGCAATGCATTTTTTTAATATTTTATTTTATGCAAATATCAAAATTCAATTTATATTTGATTCACCTTTTTTTTATCGAGGAGGGAATATTTTTTTTAGACAAGAAATAGAAGATATAGTCTTTCCGTCGGAGGATGAGCAAATCTCAATATTTATTTTCGAATTAATGGATTTTTCCTAATAAATAATTCAAAGTAAATTAATTAAACTTTAATAAATGAATCATTTTCTAACTTTATATTCGATTTATAATTTTCACCATTTACGACAATGTGTAAACGACTAAATACCAATTTTGGGCGTTGTGGGGGTGTTTATCATTTCCCACGAGTAATCGACTTCCGAACCCTTAAAAATTAATTTTTGGATAATACAAACTAATTTTTGTCTTAAAAACGATTTTTCTTAAAATTGTTTTAAAAAATGTTTTTAGTTATTCGAGTTACCTAATTCAAAGGTCGATGTCGACTATCATTCAAATTAATTCAAAATCGATAAATTTTCAAATATAATCATAATTGTTTTGTTAAAATCTTAATTGTTTTGTCGTAAAAGAAATGGTTATGACAAAAACAAAAGAATACTCTCTCTGTATCTTTTGTTTAAACGAATATTTTATCCATTCCAATAAGATAATATCTTTACGAACCAATTTAACGTTTGAAATTTTAAATAAATTCGTTATAAAACTATGATAATCAAGTTATTACTGTCAATTAATTACCACTTATTACTTTCGATTCATAGAGGAGAGAAGAATAAGAATAAATAAACTTGCTGAAGTACTAAAGCCTAACTTTAATATCTTGTTTAATATGCAGAAAGAGTATTTACAATTGCATTAAGCTTTGCCAAGAGAATTTTAAGGACACTTTTGAAAAAAAAGGTTAATATGAGAATTGGGGTATAATTTGGGGATATTTTTATTATTAAGCATTAATTCATTATTTATATTATACCATTTTATATTTATTTAGTTATTATATAAAGCTTCAAATTGCTATTAATATAAAAAAATTAAGCTTCCTATTTATATATATATATATCTATTCAAGTAGCCGAAAATCTAGTTACAACCGACAAGGTTATATGGATAGTAAATATATGATATTCCAGGTAGCCGAAAATGTATTTAGAACAACCAACTAGAAGTCGTTAACATTTGCACAAAATTAATCTATGTTAAGATTTAAGCCTTGCACGAGATGGCGTTCTTTACCTTTGATAAATAGCCTAATCTTGGTGCAATAGCGGGGGGCAGCCATGGGTGGAGCACCACCTCCACCATCATCTCTTCCCTACGGGAATGACACGATTGAAGTTTGCGTCCCTTTACTGCCCAAGGTCAATTCCGCCGGTTTCTGGGAAGACCCGGCTTCTCCATCGGTTTTTCTCACGTATTCGTTACCGCTTCTGGAGTTTCAGATGCTCGTCATATTCTTGACCACTCATCTCTTTCATTTCATCTGCAAGCCTATAGGAGTCACCTACTTTGCCTCACAAATGTTTGTAAGTTAATTAAATAACCTATCTCCTTTATTTCTCTCTCTCTATATATATATATGAATATATTTCTTTCATTTGCGATTTGATTTCTTCGGTTTAAATTCTGTGGGCTAGGCCGGCATTGTCCTGGGAATAATGGGGAAAGTAAAAGGATTCCAAAGAACGTTTTTTTCAACAGATTTTGGAGCAGAAACCCTTGAGACCACAGGACTGTTTGGTTTCTCCATGTTTTTGTTTCTGATGGGAGTGAAAATGGACTTGAAGATGGCGTTAAGAACATCGAGGAGAGCCATAGTGATTGGAATTATATCCCTTCTATCTCCTATAGTGGTTGGTTTATGTGTTTACGAGAAATTCAAAGAGCCTAATCAGAGTAAATCAACAAGCGTGGAACGTTTAATGGGAATCACCGTCGAATCTTTAACCTCTTGTTCGGTCATCGCTTGCCTTCTCAGTGAGCTCAAGATCCTGAATTCCGAACTGGGACGACTGGCTCTGTCGGCGGCAGTCGTGGGCGACATCGGCACTTTATTTCTGGTTTACTTCATTTCTTCGTCAAAACGCTGGGCCATCTCACCAGGGTTTGCCGTGACGCATTTTTGTGTAATGGTTTTTTTCGTAATTTTAATCTTTTTCGTGTTTCGTCCGATGATGTTTCGGATAATTAGAGCGACACCAGACGGCAGGCCTGTGAGTGAAGTGTACATTGTGACGATCGTGATGGTAGCCATGGCGTGTGGTATATTTACCACTAAGTTCAACAAATCTCCTTTAATCGGACCTTTTCTGGTGGGATTATCTGTCCCCGACGGACCACCCATAGGATCCATCCTGGTGGACAAGTTTGAATGCTTTGTCAACGGTGTATTTCTTGCAATCTACGTAACCACAGCTACAATGAGAATCAATCCACATAAGATGTTTGCCGATCCCATTACCCTCAAGTTTTCTCTAATTAATATCGTTTTCTCATTCTTTGCCAAACTTATACCCTGTTTTGGAGCTACATTTTGGGGCATGATGCCCCTTAGGGACTCATTGGCTTTTGCTCTCATTATGAGCAGCAAAGGCGTGGTGGAGTTGTCATATTTTTCCACTTTCAGAGACATCAAGGTACGTAAACCTTAATATCCTCTCTGTGTTTTTCAAAATTTATACTAATTTCCCTACGTTTTCATTTGCAGTATTTAACGAAACAATCATTTTGTATCTTTACCTTTGGCATTCTAGTAAATGCAATCATAATCCCAATCCTAGTGAAGTTCCTTTACGATCCTGATTCAAGAAAATATGCAACGTATCAGAAAAGAAACTTAGTGCACTTGAAACCAGATGCCGAGTTACGAATTCTTGCATGTGTTCATAGACCTGAACATGTCTCAGCCTTGATAGATGTGCTTGATATCACATGCCCCACAAAAGACAGTCATAATGTTGTTTACGCCCTTCACCTGGTCGAACTAGCAGGTCGTGATACTCCTGTCTTTATAACTCACAAAAAGAACGAGAATGTAGTCGGGCGTTCCTTTGAGCACATTCTCGCTTTCCGTCAATACGAGGAAAACAATGGTGGATTAGTCACCGTGGAGGCATTCACCGCAATCTCTCCACCTAAACTGATGTACGAGGATATCTGCAATACTGCCCTCACCAAACAAACATCATTCATACTTCTTCCGTTCCATAGAAAATGGGCCATTGACGGAACTATTGAAGTTGAAAGCAATGCGATAAGGTATCTGAATTGCAGTGTCCTCGATCGAGCCCCTTGCTCGGTAGGGATTCTCATCACCCGTGGTGTACTCGACCGGAGGAGAAAATCGTTGAAGGTGTCATCGAGGACATCGTCCTACTCCATTGGCATGATCTTCATAGGCGGCAAGGATGACCGGGAGGCTTTAACATTAGCCCAACGAATGACCCGTGACCCTAGGGTGAAGCTGAAGAAGTTTCAAACAGAGGACCGGAGGCAGCGAAGATCGTTCAATCGATAGCAAATGATTATGACTTGATCATCGTCGGTAGACGCGACGGGATGAATTCGGCACAAACAAAGGGTTTATCGGAATGGAGTGAATTTCCTGAATTAGGGGTTATCGGAGACCTTCTTGCATCCCCAGATTTAGATAGCAGGGTATCTATACTAATTGTGCATCAACAACATCGAGTAGAGTAGGTAAATGGATAAATATATATATATATATATATATATATATATATATATATATATATATATATACATTTGTTTATTTATTTATTTTTGATGAAATATTTTTTTATTTTTTAATTTTTTAAAATTTGGATAAGGTTGTATCATTTTATGAGTGTTCCAATATTAATTTTAATAGATCAAAATTTTAAACATAATATTTATATTAATGGGCGTCTTGTACTATTATCTAATTTGTAAAAAAATGTATTTATAATCAAAATTGATTGAACTCATTTAGTGGCTTCAATGGTTGAAGGGAGTGTCATTTTCCTTGAGTTTCCTTAGTTCAAGTAGGTGCGTGTGTAGGGGTATGTGTTGTCGATGATAAAGATATATTCTATTCTAAATAGATACTACCCCAATAAAAACCTCAAACTATTAAAAAATCAAAACTAATTTACTATAACAAATATTTTTAATATGAAATAATAGATACATATAACATTAAAGTTAATTAAATAACGATATAAAATAAAAACAGATATACAACAAAAAATATAAATATGCTAAAATTTATATAAAAATTATTATTAATATGTAAAATTTTATTTAAATTTATAACACTTGAAACATATGAGAAGTATATAAACACAACATGAACATTCCATTTTTGTTTTACATTAAATTATTATGATAAATTATATAAAGTATAAGATGAATTTACACATAAATATTTTTAGGTAAAGTACGTAAATGGTATCCGACTATAGAGTGTTACTTTGTTGAGTCTTTTAACGATTAAAAGTTATAAAATATCCCTCGACTAGAAGACGTTGTTTTGTCGAGTCCCCCGATTAGTAAAAGTTACAAAACGATCATCTAACTATTCATATATTCCAAAATCATCATTTCCCTAAAAAATTGACGTCCATCTGAGCTGGACGTTAACATGTGACTGATATATAATAAAATCATAATTTAGTGATGTCTATTGACACCGTTGTTACTTTCAAACATTGACTTGCCAGCATAATGTTTCAAGCATTGGTCGACGACATAATGTAAGCGGCGATTTGATCTAGAAAATACAATTAAAATGATTTTGGGATCAAATTTTATCATATCTCTGTCAATAGGTTAACGTTCATCTCATATGACCGTCAAATTTTTTACGAAAAATGACGAGTTTGGAACATATAAATAGTTGGGGATCATTTTGTAACTTTTAATAGTTAGTGGACTCAACAAAATAACGACCTATAGTTAATGAACTATTTTTGTACTTTACCTAATTTTCTTTAAATTGAATTATAATATCAAACTGTGTAAAGTATCATATAAATAAAAACACAATACAAACATAACACTCAAAAATAAAAAATTAATTAATAGTATGTTTAAATTAACGTATCAAAATGCACAAATCAATTTATTTAAGTGGTTAAAAGAATCGTTGTTGTTCCTAGAGGTCAAGCGTTCAAGTACCAGTAATTACAAAGGTGATTGAGCATTCATTATCAAATAGTTGGGAATATTTAGAATATGTATTACTTTTGTAATCATCTTAATTTAATCTAAACAAATAACATATCAAAATTAATTTATATAAAATGAATTATTAAAATGTGAAAAAATATGCAATTTTATAAAAATCGTTCATGTGTAGGCATAACATCTACACCTAGCATATCTCAACCATGAATGCACCACTATAGTTGGCTTTTTAGCCAAGTAATCGTTTAATATAATAATTTATCAATGCACGGTTAAAGTTGTCAAAATCAACTTATTAAATTTGGTTCAATTGATATCATTATTAGTATAATATATAGAAGGATGTGAGATTAAGTATATTTATGCATTCGATACTTTTCTATTTGAGGGTGAAGAGAAATTTAAGTATTGATAATATGAGAGTTCAAATTTAAATATTAGAGATTACATTATCGTTGAGAGGAATATATAATTATGAAACTCTTAAAATGAATATGTAGTGCACTAAAAAAGAATGTTCATTAGGACCCAAAAGGTGCCCTATGAGGGATACCTTTTCTTCTCGTTGAATTAGAATGAGCTTTACATATATTATTATAAGTTTCTTCATCTCCTCCTTCACGTAATTCTTCCTCGTTATTCTTGATGCTTAAAACTAAGCTCGTGTCTCCCTTTTGCCTTATTCCTACAAGCTGCAACCATTACATGTTAAATATGAGCATAAATATTCGAATACGAGTATGAGACGATGATAATTTAAATCCGATATAATGTGAAACTGACCTTGCATCCCAAAATGCAGAAACGAAAGGGATCCAGAAGGCTTCTGCCACAGGTTTCACATAGATGAGACACCCCTTTGCTGCCGCCGCCGCCGCTAGTGGTGGCGGTTTTAGGGTGAAGTGGTCTCTCGTTTAAGAAAACAACTCTTGCGCTGTTTATCACCTAAGTTTGGACTCCACTTATATCCAATACTTTTTCAACTTCACTAACCCTTACAACATCGTGGTATGACGACCGTCTGATCTGCATTCATCTCTTCTTAGACCATAAATTTTCATACATAAATATACCAGAAAAAAAGATGAAATTAAATTCGAGGAAACCTAGAGTTTAACTTGGTTAGCTCACCCGGATTTATCTCTTATGGCAAATGAAAAATAGAAAAAGAAATGTGACGTGCACCTGAATCACGAGATGATCTTTGTGTGCGGAGGATCGGCAGTAGAAGCAAAATGCATGTTTCATGCAATCGAGACAATACATATTACATTCGTTCCTCGACGTGTCTCGATGTCTTGAGCAGACCTAGAGTTAACTTGGTTAGCTCACCCGGATTTATCTCTTATGGCAAATGAAAAATAGAAAAAGAAATGTGACGTGCACCTGAATCACGAGATGATCTTTGTGTGCGGAGGATCGGCAGTAGAAGCAAAATGCATGTTTCATGCAATCGAGACAATACATATTACATTCGTTCCTCGACGTGTCTCGATGTCTTGAGCAGTCAGTGAAGAATGTCGTCGATAACAAGGATTCGAGCCATGGCGGCACCTTCATCTCTTCGTGAAATGGGGGCTGAAGGAGAAGACAAGAACTTGAAGAATGGAACATAAGAGATTCATAAATGGGAATTAATTGCAGGACACAATAGATATAAAAGAATGTGTTGAGAACGTATTTGGATTAAGGGTTTGGATCAAAAGATGGTAGATTAAGGTGGGTTTTGGACAGTTGGATTAGGATTTATGAGAATGAAAATTAAAATTTTAATGAAAGGTTTCGTTTTATGAGCTTACGCAATACTTTTGATTCGCGTTTGCGCCTATGGGAGACTGACAACGAATGGTAACAAATAGGAGAAAAAGCACATAATAAAATCCCATGTGCACTTCATGCCTTAATGGGGCTACACATGGAAATCGGTTGGATAAATATATAATTTCATGTTTGAATTTGTTGTTTCTTTAATATGATGTCGGCATATCTAATCTTTTATTTTTATTTAATTTAATATTTTTACGTGATATTTAAATTTAATAATTTTAACCTATTATGATATAATATTATATGTCGTAATCTTTTTTTTTCTTGTTGAAATGCTAATTTATTTAAATATATCAACTTTAACTTCATGTATCAAAATAATATCATTCAAAATTATTTATAAAAATAAGATATACTTTGAGATTAATGACAATTGATACGAATTCATTGTAAAATATATTATATAAAAGTAAATTTATAATATTATAATATAAATATTAAAAAATGATAAATTTCATCTCATTTATCTTTCAATACAGATAGTGTATTTTAGAATAAAATAATACAAACCAAGTTATCTCAATGGTCTAGTGGATAGTTGTTATTGTTAGAAGTCTCAAGTTTGAGCACTAAAGATTGCAAGGGTAATAAGCTTTAATTGTCAAAATTGTTGAGAATCTTTAGAACATGTACTACCTTATAATCATCCTAGATTAATAAAAAAAATTAAAATAAATAAAAAGATAATTTTATGCAATATTTATATAAGCATATTTAATTTTATGATTTTTTTATAATGTATTTGATAATAAAATAAAAAAATAATTCTATTTCTAGAATGTTAATTTTAATAATAGGGTTCAATTTTTATACGAGGAGTATTAAATGATAATTATCTAAAAAATAAACATCAACAATAAGAGTGTGTTTGATTCACGGAATATAAAATTAATTTTTAGAATAACATTATTGGAATGTAACATTATTATGAGAATGTTGTATTACCTTGTTTGATTGTTTAGTAAGAATCTAAGATTACTGTATTTGGTTGAAGGAATATAAAATTATTTAGATACATATTTTACTAAATTATACTTGTGATATATATCTTTTTAAAATTAAACTTTAATATTAATTTATAAATATTTGAATAAAAATTTATAAAAAATATTTTAATCGTTATACTATATAACTAGTACAACTTTTGAAGAAAAATACATTTAATATATAATTAATATAATTAATATACTAAATTTATATCTCTAAATAATATTCATAAGTATCATATTTATTTATATAAAATATAATATAATATGAAAAAAACAATATTATGATATTGAGTGGATAAAAATATTTTTTTCAATGTATATAAGATCCGTTTTCTAATAACTAAAAGTTAAATATTTTTTAAATAATTACATTTTTACAATAATATTATTTTTTCACCTTGTAAAATTATAAGTAATAAATATATTGAATATCAAAAATATAAATATTTTAAATTCTCAAATTTATTAATATTTTAGTGAATCAAACTCTTTGTATATTATTATTATGTTTATAATTTTGAGTAAACTAAAAAAATAAAAATTAATAGTGATCATTATAAAAGAATTCATTAGTCTAATAATATTTTTGTTTAAAATAATAAAAATTGTATAATACTTAATAATTTAAAAGTAATGATATTCTCACCATTTTAATACAAAAAATTATTATTATTAGAAAAAAATACTCTCTAATAAAAAAAATTTATAAATCAAACGTGAAAATATAATTTAAAAAAAATTATACTCTTTAATTATATTTTTTTTCGCGAATCAGAATAAATAAAACCCAATCATTGCTCTAACGCACATAAAGTATTTATAATTTTATATAGAAAACCCCGAAGGGAACTAGAATAAAAAAGAAAATCCCAAAACAGATGTGAAAATAAATAAATAAATAAATAAATAAAAACAGTGACTCATACACTAGTGAAAAGACTACAGGTGGCACCATCATTGCTCACCGTCCCTTTGTTGGCTAGCAAATAAATAATTAAAATCAACCGTCATTTATTAATTATACCAAAATAAAGCCCAAACCAAAACCCGACTCGGATCCTCCATCTCCCTTTTTCTCAATTCCAGGAATCCAGCAAATGTCTCCGTTTCCATCAGAGAACGGCATCGAAGGAGGCGACGAGCGAGAAGAAGAGGAAGAAGACAAAGATGTTGAAGATGAAGATGAGGAAGAGGAAGAAGAAGAGCCGAGGCTTAAGTATCAAAGGATGGGAGGAAGCATCCCTTCATTGCTCTCTAACGAGGCAGCTTCCTGTATCGCCGTTGCCGAACGCATGATCGCACTCGGGACCTACGATGGAAACATTCACATACTCGACTTTTTAGGAAACCAGGTGAAAGTTTAATTTGATTTTATTTTGTTTCATCGCTTTAGATCTTATATTTCGTTCCAGGATCTTTATATACGTTGTTTTGGATTAGTTAGTAGATTTTAATAAGTTATTTAGTAAAGCTAATTGTTTTAGTTGCATCCGGTTATTGAATCACGTTGGAAAATGAATTTTATTTTATTTATTTTATGCTTTAAAAGCTGTGTTTCGTTGTGTGTAGGTTAAGGAATTTGCTGCTCATTCGGCTACAGTGAATGAGCTTAGTTTTGATATAGAAGGTGAATACATTGGAAGCTGTTCTGATGATGGCTCTGTTGTAATAAACAGTCTTTTCACTGACGAGAAATTGAAATTCGATTATCATCGTCCTATGAAAGCGATTGCTCTTGATCCTGATTATGCAAGAAAATCATCTAGGAGATTTGTAGCTGGTGGTTTAGCAGGGCACTTATATTTTAATACCAAAAAGTGGCTTGGCTATAAGGATCAGGTTCGTGGTGCTTGTTTGACTTTGATGTATTTGAAAAAGGATTTTCTCTCTCTAAATTTTTGATGTTTTGTATGTTAACTGGATTGTAGGTTTTGCACTCGGGTGAAGGTCCAATCCATGCGGTGAAATGGAGAACAAATCTCATTGCTTGGGCTAATAATGTAGGTGTGAAAGTTTATGATGCTGCAAATGATCAGCGGATTACATTTATAGAAAGACCAAGAAGCAGTCCTCATCCTGAAGTTCTGCTCCCTCATTTGGTTTGGCAGGTTAGTCGAAGATTAAACTGGAATAGTTGGAAGTTGTTTAAGACTATATAAAATTTCTGAAGTATTTTCTTTTTAAAGTTTTTACTTTCCTAGGTCTCCATGAAGCATGATGTTGTTTCTTGTTGTTGTTTTTGCAATTGCTTATTGTTTGAACTTTGCATTCAGGATGATACTTTACTGGTGATTGGCTGGGGAACCTCTGTCAAGATTGCATCAATAAAAACAAATTTGAATAAAGGAACTAATGGAACATATAGGAATGTTACAACGTCTAACATGAACCAAGTAGATATTGTTGCATCTTTTCGGACTAGCTATTTCATATCAGGAATTGCTCCTTTTGGTGATTCTTTGGTTGTCCTTGCTTATATTCCTGGTGAAGAAGACGGAGAGAGCGAATTTAGTAGCTCAGTACCATCACGACAGGTATATGTCTTTTATGTTTTTAAACTCCAATAAGTTCCTCGTCATGCATGCACCTTCTAATGTTGAGGTTTTATCATGCTATCTTTGTGCATTACCTGAGTTTTTTTTTTACCTAAATTTTGCCCATAAGTTAAGAATTACTTGGGACGTGTATTATCAAATTGATCAGTCTGTTCTTTTCTCAGTAATGCAAGACCCGTGCTTGTTATTTCTTTATTTGATTACAATGACTCATTGGCATGCATTTTTTTTTATAGAAAACTTTTAACTCATTGCCATGCATGAATCTACTAAAGCAGGGTAGTGCACAGAGACCAGAGGTACGTGTAGTAACTTGGAACAATGATGAACTGGCAACAGATGCCTTACCTGTGCATGGGTTTGAGCACTACAAAGCAAAGGATTATTCCTTGGCCCATTCTCCCTTCTCAGGTTGATATCTCTGTTTTTTGAATTTTCTGGACCTTTGGACACAATTTACAGTCAATAATTATGGTGCTTTTCTCACATGAACGTAGGAAGCAGTTATGCTGGTGGACAGTGGGCTGCTGGTGATGAACCAATCTATTACATTGTATCACCAAAGGATGTTGTCGTAGCAAAACCAAGGTTACTATTGATTCTTTGCACACTGTAGCCTTCTAAAGATTATTGTTGCTTCTTATGATTAAAGGGTCATGGTTGCTGCAGTAATATGCATTAATAGCTAACTAGGTTTTATATTAAATTTATTAGTGTCAATCTGGTGTTGATTGCTTATCTATTTATGATATATATATATAAAACTCCCAACTGAGTTAACCTCTTGAGTGAGATGACACCAACTCAGTTAAGAATAGAAAAAAAAACTAAAACAAAAAGAATCTACATAAAATACTATCAGATCTTTTAACGTATTAATCCTTTTACCTTTTAAACACGCACAAATATATTTTATTTTCAAATTACTCGCATGATGTGTGGTCGTATTCTAGTTTAATGTAAAGGATTTGAGTTTATGGATAATCTCTCTTCCCATAGTTGCTAATATGTTTTTTTTATAATTCCTACACCCTCTAATTTACTTAAATTATCTGACTTGTTTATATACATATATTGATCCATCTTGCTCTTTAAGCTTGACACCTGACAGTAAAGTTTACAAGCTTCTGTTTTGCAGTTTAACATGATCCAAGTATGTAGTACTATTATATATTTGCAACTTAAAAAACAGGAATAGTTAAAAAAATGCTTATGAGGTTCATTCTCATCAAATTATGATAGTTCTGTGAATATTGTAAATCTTCAGATGAACTATTATGTAGTGCATTCTCATAGGGCATGAGTTTTGTCTGAGTTTTGATGTCAAGATCCCCTTAATATGGCGATACTTTGGATTGGTACTATTGTATTAGAATTTGTCATATATTTTCTAAGTACCTGCAGAAGTATTTTTGCAAATTTAACCTATATTTTTTTTTACTCTTAGGGATGTGGAGGATCACATTGCATGGCTTCTTCAGCATGGTTTGCATGAAAAAGCTTTAGCGGCAGCTGAGTCTGGTCAGGGACGGAGTGAACTCATTGATGAGGTAATTTTGGTTCTTTCGTTGATATATTATTATTGCTAATGACTTTGTATAAATTACTGGACAATGCTATGCTACCTGTAGGCATTCCTAATTAAATCTGATTATTGCATTAATATTGTAGACTCTGGCTGCATATGATTGTATATTAATTTTGATTTGTGGTAAAATAGTACCTATTATTGCTGGTAGTATTGTTGGCTTAGGTTTCTATTCCATCGTCCATGTTATTTACTAAAATATTTTTGTTTTTCTTTTTTGGTTTTATCACTCTACATGTAGGTGGGATCTAGATACCTAGATCACTTGATTGTTGAAAGGAAATATATTGAGGCTTCATCCTTGTGTCCCAAATTGTTGCAAGGATCTGCTACGGCCTGGGAAAGGTACCAAAAGGCATGATTCGTAACTCTCTCCCTACATTTCTTGTTAATCACTTGCATTCAATTGCTTTTGACAGATGGGTATTCCACTTTGCACATCTCCGTCAACTTCCTGCATTGGTTCCGTATATGCCAACTGAAAACCCAAGGCTGCGTGATACTGCATATGAGGTTCATTAGGACAGCAACTGTGTGCAAATATTCATGTAGTCCACTTCTATAATTTTTCATACATATCAGCTTGAAATTAAAACTACCTTTCTGTTATGCTGCAGGTTGCACTTGTAGCCCTTGCAACAAATCCATCCTTTCATAAGGATCTCTTGTCAACTGTTAAATCTTGGCCACCTGTCATTTATTCTGCATTGCCTGTTATTTCTGCCATAGAGCCGCAATTAAATACTTCATCAATGACTGATGTCCTTAAAGAGGTTCGTAAGGCAGTTTGTGGCATATCTGATATGGTTTGAATTTTGAATTGGCTGACGGCTCATATGGGGAATGATCATAAACTTTCTCTTTATAGGCACTTGCAGAGTTGTATGTTATTGATGGGCAGAATGAGAAAGCTTTTTCACTCTATGCTGATGTAAGTTTTTGGATGTAAATTTGTGCTCAAATATCTACAGTTATCTTTAAATTCATCTAATGCAAATTGCTTCTGGAAACTAGGTTTCCATCTATTCTCTGGTTGGATAGGTTGTATCTTAATGTATTTACTTCTCTGAGTTTTTCAGCTTATGAAGCCTGATGTATTTGACTTCATTGAAAGGCACAACTTACAAGATTCCATTCGTGAAAAGGTATGGTGATGGTCCTTATGGATGGGCTGGTGCAATGTCTGAGCTACTTTACTTTCTCATGAATGATAATATTTTTATAGAATAACTGAATATCTGTTTCATTTGAGGCCAGTCTGTGAAATTCTGAAATGGATGCATTAAATGATTTTACTTCTTTGGCTGCCATTTGACACTTTGATTTGCAATGATACTTAAAGTCTACAATATATGGTATATGATTTTTGCGCCATGTTCCAGAAATAAAAACAATTCATGGCTTTCCAATTTCCCTTTGTTGATATTCTAGAGGATTTTTTTAATTTTGTTATTCTATTATTGACGTCCTTTCTCTTACATGTGAGGTGCAGGTTGTCCAGTTGATGATGCAAGATTGTAAGCAGGCTGTCACTTTATTTATCCAAAATAGGGACTTGATTACACCATCTGAAGTTGTTTCACAACTTCTGAGTGCTGGAAATAAGTGTGATTCAAGATATTTCATGCATTTATATCTGCATTCTTTATTTGAAGTCAACCCACATGCCGGAAAGGATTATCATGATATGCAGGTATGGATAAGACAACTATCTTGGTATTTTAATAGCTTTTATGTGAATAATGTGGGTTGTATTACTTTTAAATTTATCTATTTTTCTGATATTTGTTTCAACTTGCTAGCTTCAAATATTAGTTGTTGGGGAGGTGAAATGTATTTCACACCTTATCTATGTGTGGTCAATGGTGAAGCAAACTTGTCATGCATTCCAAATTAGTCCTGATTTGTTTTGGCAACATAAGATTACCCATGACAGATTAACTTTGAACTGTTTGTATGGGTTTCAGTTGGATGCTAATAGTAGCCCATGTGGTTTGTACATTAATCGATAGAGCTCAATCTATGGCTGTAACCTGGACCATAAATCAATCCAGGTTATAGATTTGATGGTCTGCCATCAGGTATACTGCTTATATGTGTTAAAATCAACCCAAATAAAGAAAAAGAATATTAAAATTTCCTATGAGACGGAGAAGATGTCTCTTGCTCTTTCGATGCTGTATTAATGCTTCAGATTTTGTTGCCTGTAAAGTGTAAACATATTTTTCTAGTATTCAATACTTTTGGCTGTCTACTCAAGATGTAAATTCATGTGTATAAGGTTTTCGTTCTTATGTTGAATAGATTTTCTAATAAATTATTGACTATTATCTTGATGTTTAGGTAGAGCTTTATGCTGAATATGATCTGAAGATGTTACTTCCTTTTCTTCGCAGCAGTCAACATTACACACTAGAGAAGGTTTGCACAGTCTAAACTTTAGGTTGTAAAGATAACATCATAATTTTCCATAAATGACGCTGCTGAAATTCATCCTCAGGCATATGAGATCTGTGTCAGAAGAGGTCTTGTAAGGGAGCAAGTTTTCGCCCTTGGAAGAATGGGGAATTCAAAACAAGCCCTTGCTGTCATCATAAATGAATTAGGAGATATAGAAGAGGTAGTTATATGTCATTTTCAGTGTTCAGTCCTCCAGCTTTTAGCCGATGCCCGAGTTTCTATTAGTATTTCTGGTAATATAAGGATTGTTACTAACGAGAAAAGTCTTGTTATTTTCCCAAGGCTGTAGAATTTGTGAGCATGCAGCATGATGATGATCTTTGGGAAGAATTGATTCAGCAATGCCTCCACAAACCTGAAATGGTAAAGGCACAAAATGCAGACCGGAAATATGCATATATTTGTCTTATGATTTGTCATATTTATCCTTTTCTGGTTGTCCACTTCCCCTTTCTTTTTATCATTCTCTCACGAATTCGCAGGTGGGTGTCTTATTGGAACACACTGTGGGCAATCTTGATCCTATCTATATTGTAAACATGGTACCCAATGGCCTAGAGATTCCTCGGTTAGTATTCTCTCTTTCATAAGTGCAAATTGCAAATTTTTATATAGCTAGGCTAGTAGAATTTGACTCAATTCTCTATGTTATTTTCAGGCTTAGGGATCGTCTAGTCAAAATTATAACTGATTACAGAACTGAAACTTCTCTTAGACATGGGTGCAATGATATTCTCAAGGTACTCTTACTCCTAACATGTGTTGTTACTTGGAATTTCAATCTTTGGAACTTGACATTGGTGTAAATGTGAACTAATACAGGCTGATTGTGTTAACCTGTTGGTTAAATACTATAACGAAGCTAGACGTGCAGTTTGCTTGAGCAATGAAGAGGTCAATTATAGCTCCAAGAGGGAAGCAAGTGGAGCCTCTCTATCGATAGAGAAAACTCCTAGTGCTAGGAACATGGTAGTTAAGTCTAAAACTAGGGGAGGGGGAAGATGTTGCATGTGTTTCGATCCTTTCTCGATACAAAATGTATCGGTCGTTGTTTTCTTTTGCTGCCATGCTTATCACACGACTTGCTTGACGGACTACGCTTACGCTGATGACAGCAAAAAGAGGACTGGAACGACATCTCAAGAGCCTTACGGGTACTATAACGATGATGAGGGTGAGGATGAAGAAGATGACGATAATGATGAGCAGGCTGGCAGCCATCGAATGCGATGTATTCTATGTACCACGTCGGCAAGTTAAGTTTGTAATGCTTTATAATTATGCTAAGTCTATGCATGTGAGGGTGTGCTGTGCTTTTTGCTCCCAATTTCTTTCCCTTTCTAACCCATTTCTTATTCTTCTCTTGTATTGTTGTGTGGCAACATATGTATTATAGTCCATGTAATTATTGGAAAGTGGAATTTATAATTTTTGGCGGTTGGTTTTTGTGGCATATACCTGGTATCGTAAAAAAAGTTTTTTTAATATAGTTATTTTTATTTATTTTATTGAATAATTAATTTAAATTAGATTTTGTATAAATTTTATTGTGAAAGCTATTTTCTTAAGTGAATAAAACCAATTAAAATTAAATTAAAAAAAATCATGAAAATTAAATTTACGTAAATGAAAAGAAATCTTGGGTTCTAATCACAGATGCTAAAGACGCCAGTCTGAATTATGCCCATATAGCATCTATGATTGTGAGCCGATTAAATTTCTTTTCAATTCACGTGTTGAATTTCTCTAAAATATTTATGCCATTATATTTATAATATATATATACCAATAATATTAAATCTGTATGTGTTATAAGTTGCCTATAAATTAGTATCAATAGAACTTAAAGGCCAAACTTTCACTCGAAAGAAATAACGGTGAATAGTCGTTCTATCATTAATTCCTTATTATTCATTTTAGGGATTTAAATTAATTTGAACCGTCTCCAATTGTGAGTTTAAAAATGGTAGACATGGCAGATCAAACTCTTTGTTTGTAATCATCACCAGCAATGCGATGGTGTAATCCGATAAGATTACATTTTTAGTGCCATTTTTGGCTTTTGGATTCATATGAGTAATCGAATATAAGTATATAAGAATAAAGTTATGAGATCAAATTATTTGTTTTTAAAATTATAAGAAGATAGGTGCTAAGCTTAAGAGTTGGTATGCAAGGTATTTGAGTTATGCTGACAGGTTGCAACTCATAAATTCAGTTTTATTTAGTAATGTTAACTTCTGATGTCGTCGACTGATTTTGTCAAAAACAGTGTTGAGAAGGGTTGAGAGTTGTGTACCAAATTCTTTTAGAAAGGAAGTGACTCCTGTTTTAGGTGCTAAAGTAAGCTGAAAGAAGATTTGTTTTTCCAAGGTTGAGGGAGATCTTGGGCTCAAGGATATTTACTGTTGGGATAAAGCCAATATGGTTCAACTTATTTGAAACATATTTAGCAATGTATCGATGTGGGTAGCCTGGGTCGAGGCCTATGTCATTAGGGATGAGGACTTTTGACAAGTGGCTTGCAAGGATTCCGTGTACTGGAGCTTGAGGAAATTACTTCAGCTTGGGGGGAGGCTGTTGCTTTCTTCTCAAGGGTCACTGACTTGGATGCAGCAAGAACCAAGCTGATTTGGGATGAGATTAGGAACAGGAATGAGAAGGTTCCTTGGCCCTGTGCCAAGGCATTCAGTTGTTGTTTTGCTAACTATTCTCGACAAGCTTGCTACTCGGAACAAGTAGGCTCGTATGGAGATTACTTCCGATGGTGTTTGCAGCCTCTGTGGTGCTGTTAATGAATTCAAGGATAATATTTTTTTGGATGTCTTTTCAAGGAACAATTGGAGAGCTATTTTGGACAGGTGTGGATTGGCTGGATGAGTTTTCAGTTGGGATGAGGAGAAGCAATGGACTTTCCTGAGGCTGAGAGGTAAATCTATGTTTGCATACATTTTGAAAATTGCTTGGAACGCTACAATCTACTTCACCTGACAGGAGAGGAATAAGAGAGTGTTTACTGGTGTTATTAGAAGTTGGCCGGAGATTTTGAATTCCATTGGGGATTTGGTTAGAATTAAATTCTTTGACAAATATATAGATAGGTTACAGCTAATCAACCAATCTCTTTATAGTGCTTGAGGGATTGCTTAGAATATCTGTATTTTTGTAGGATGCTCTTTGTTTTTATATATTTTCCGTAGGTAATAAGATTTCAAATTATCCAAAAAAAAAATTATAAGAAGTATTTAAACAAAAATAGAGATTAAAATTTAATTTATTTAATTTTAAAATTGAAAGAGGCTTAAAATGTAAATAAACTAGAATAATAAAAAAAGATTAAAGTCTAATTTCTCATATTCTAAAATCAATATGAACTTAAAAATAATTAAATTAAAAAATTGGAAAGCATGTCTTCCCAAATTCTACAACATTTGCATCATCAATGTTGGAAGGTAAGCCCCTCCCATACTGGCCCACTCACATTCAAGTGGTGCCTTCTTCAAATCAAAACTGAAATAACCTATGTTACCGTCCGAATTTTATATTATTTTTACAAGTATTTGCTATATACCAAACACGAGTGTTTTAATATAGATAAAACTGGTTTAGTATCAATAGAATATGGCGATGTTGAAAACGTTGTGCAACACAAACAAGGGCCATGGAGGGTTATTTTCAGACATTCAGTTCCTTACGTGTTCCTTAATTTTTATGTCATGTGTCATGGGAACACAATTCAACATCCCAAGAATAGGAGCAGTTGGTGGAAGAAGAATCAGAAATGAAGCGGAAATCACATGGGGTTGGGATTCTAAAGACTTCCAGACCTTGTTCTACGACCGGTTTACCTCAAAGATATGTAATTAATTCCAAGTACAATGCAAGTTCACCCATCATGGTCTATTTCGGTGCCGAAGAAGCATTGGATTACGATTTATCTGGAATCGGATTTCTGACGGATAATGCGCCGGCCTGGGCTTTACTAGTATACATAGAGGTAAAGAGTTGAAGCCTTTTTAATCTAATTTCATTCTCTCCTCTTCTTCTCACCCTGTTTCTACATTCATCGCACCATCGGTTTTACGGAAAATCGGTTCATACGGCGGAAGTAAATGCTTACTATGTTTCTGCAGTAATAAGATTGAGTCAGTGACCATACTCATAATTTTAACATATTTGACACTTGTTTTTTTCTACTTGCGAAGTGCTTGCTGCATGTTTTCGGCTAAAATATCCTCATGTTGCTCTTGGAGCCCTTGCCTCCTCAGCTCCTATCCTATCTCCATGATCTTGCACCGCCAGTTGGTTACCATGCAATTGTCACCGAAGATTTTAAGGAAACCACTGAAAGTTGCTACCAAACGATCCGGAAATCATGGCACGAATTCGACGAAGTTGCTTCCAATTCTAATGGTCTTTCAATCCACAGTATGAGGTTCAAAACCTGCGAGTAAGCAAAGCAAATTAACTATACATGATAGTCATTGTTGTTGTCGTCGTCCATATGCCGTGTTTAATGTTACAAGCACTAATCTCTTCTTGTAATTTAATCAGAAAATTGAAGACAAGTTTTGATCTTAAGGACTTCTTGGACTCGGTATATTCCGACACAGCGCAGTATGATCATCTCCCAACCTATCCTAGTATTCTCTGCAGTGGCATCGACAGTGCTCCTCAAAGGACTGATATGTACTTGACCAAATATTCTCTGGTGTCGTCGCATATATGGGAAATAAATCATGCTACGACATGAATGAATTCAATCATCCAACTGATGAAACTTATATAGGATGGAAATGGCAGGTGAGAGAGGTGACTGAAGATAGCCGATAACTTGTTCATATAGCTCTCAGTTACATGATTCCATACCTATTTGCAAACATGTAGTGAGATGATGATGCCCATAGGGCACGGAAACAACGACTCAATGTTTCCGCCCGAACCGTTCGACCTAAACGGTTTCATAAAGAAATGTGAGACCTTGTTCGGTGTCCAGCCTTGGGCACATTGGGTGACAACTCACTACGGAGGCCATGTCAGTTTGTTTGATCTTCATAGCTTTGTATTCGCATCGAATCCTTAATCAAAGTCTCCCATATTGGCAGGATTTGAAACTGATTCTTCATAAATTTACCAGCAACGTCATTTTCTCTAATGGCCTGAGAAATCCTTACAGCAGAGGCGGCCGTATATCAACTTTAAATATAATCGATCACCCGATTTAACATGATTTTTATGTTATTACAGGGTATTGGAGAACATATCAGATAGAGTTGTTGCAGAGTCAATAGTATTTCTACATATGTTTCAGTTTATGTCACATTTCAACTATGAACTAACATTAACATGCTTCTGCAGGATCTCATTAATGCTGGAAACGAGAAGCGATCCACCGTGGTTGATGGAGAAACGGAAAACGGAAGTTGAGAGAATCATCTCATTTGTAATAATGTTAACAATGCATATGAAATTAAGTTCGATAGATTTACATGATGGATAACATTTCGTTAAAAAATGGAATAATTTTTGGACCTGTCTCATTTAACCTGATCCGGTACTTATAAAAAAATGGTTGTCCCTTGTTCTATATGTAATGGGGTAAGGAGGAAGTAAGATAGTAGGTTGCCCCCAATACTAGGTTGAGAGCAGTTTCCGTAGAAGACCTCTAAATTATGAAATGTTTTTCATGAGACTCGATCTCACGACCTCAAATTAAAGATCCTTGTGCTTTACTAACTGAGATGGATGATCATTTCCTCTGATCTAGTACTTATGCTATCATTAAATATATATTTGTTGTAGACTGAGCACGTGAAGCCCAAACCACAAGAATACTTGTCCAGTCCCCAAAGCTAAAAAGGTCCATCAATACCGTATCTCTCGTTGGTCTCCTTTTATACTTTTACCTTCAAATTTCCCAGAAACCCTAATTTCATCAAATTGTTTCTCTCTCTCTCGCTTCTCGTAAACTCAATCTCTCCAGTCCCGTTATAACTCAATTGAATTTGATCAAGAACTGTAAGCTTAAATACTCAATTTGTTCATTTTTACTTGTTTTGGAGATGGCTGAGGATAAGAGCGGAGATCCAAGTGAAGTGAGTGATTACTCATCGGAAGATGAAGGGACTGAAGATTATAGAAGAGGAGGGTACCACGCGGTGCGTATTGGCGACACTTTCAAGAACGGTTGCTATGTGATTCAGAGCAAGCTTGGTTGGGGTCATTTCTCCACCGTTTGGCTCGCTTGGGATACCCAAAGATCGGTATTTTCCTCTTCCTTTATTTCTTTTGTGCTTCCCTTTGCCCCCTCTTATGGTAAAAGTTTATTCTTTTATGGAAAGCTGGTTAAGCATTAATATGGTGAATTATTTGTTTATGGGTGTATGTATTAAGAACAATGAAAGATGTCATTGTAAGAGATGCTGGAATGTGCATTGCTTTTGGTTAATTGAAGGGTCTTATTTCTGCAGCTAATGTTGTGAAGAGTCCGAGATTTGCCTTCTTGCAATTGAGCTTCAAATGCCCTTCATTTTCCCATCGGAGATAATTCTCTCTTTTTACATATAGTGCTCTTGTTGAGACATTTTCATTTTAATTCTTTTCAATATGATTATATGAGGTGTTCTGTTTCTTGTTTAGGTCATAAGATTCTTTGTGTGTTGAACTTCGTCTTATTGTAGAACTGGATCAACCATTGCCATTTGAATTTCACGTCTTTAACCCCATGAGAATTTATTGTTTGTAGCGTTATGTAGCTTTGAAGATTCAAAAGAGTGCTCAGCATTACACCGAGGCGGCAATGGATGAGATAAAGATCCTCAAACAGATAGCTGAGGGAGATCCGGACGATAAAAAGTGTGTTGTGAAGCTCTTGGATCATTTTAAGCATTCGGGGCCTAATGGGAACCATATGTGTATGGTTTTTGAGTACTTGGGGGATAACCTTTTGACTCTTATTAAATATAGTGATTATCGAGGAGTTCAACTTCACATGGTTAAAGAGATTTGTCGTCATATTTTGACGGGGCTCGATTATTTACACCGTGAACTTTCAATCATTCACACTGATTTGAAGCCGGAGAATGTGCTACTATTGTCAATGATTGATCCATCAAGAGATCCTAGGAAATCTGGTGCTTCCCTCATCCTTCCAACTAGGAAGGATAAGGTTGTCTTGGAGGCTGTTTCTTCAAAAGAAATTAAGAGTTTGAATGGAGATTTGACAAGGAATCAGAAAAAGAAGATTCGGAAGAAGGCTAAGAAGGCAGCTCAAGACTGTGTTGGAAAGGAACCTTTGGAGGAAACCGAGACAGATTCCAAGACTGGTGGTACGGAAGACACCAATGCTGATGTGAAATCAAATGAAGTTTCTGGTGAAACGCAGCCAAATAGTTCTGTGGTTGAAGATGATCCAAGGAGTGATGGAATTAACAATCGTGACCAAGGAAAGGAGTGTCATAGCAGGGGGAGCCGTGCAACGAGGAAAAGGCTGTTGGCTGAAGCTGATCTTAAATGTAAATTGGTTGATTTTGGCAATGCTTGCTGGACATATAAACAGTTTACAAACGATATTCAAACCAGACAGTATAGATGCCCTGAGGTTATCCTTGGATCCAAGTATTCAACGTCAGCTGACTTATGGTCTTTTGCTTGCATTTGTTTTGAACTGGCTACCGGTGATGTTCTTTTTGATCCACACAGTGGTGACAACTATGATCGCGATGAGGTATGCAGGAACCATTTTACTTTCCATCTTGCATTTATATTATCCCGTGCTGGATACTTTGATAGTCTTATGTGCCTCTTAATGATGGTGGACCTTGTGGTTACTCCTGTGTGATGGTCATGGGTTTAGGGTTTACATATATCCAGTAATCCATACATCTGTACCTCCCTTATGCAGTCCAAATAAGGACAGAGGAGAGAATGAATGAACTTTCATTAGCTTTAGATGCATACCAGATAAGGTTTCTTTCTATATTATGTCTGGAGTAAGCTTAAAGTATCCTACAAGCGATGTGACTGCCTACTTGTTTCCTATTTGTGCAATGGAAAAATAACATAACTAATTCTTAGGAATGAAAGACCACCATAAGTTAAGATGAGCCCTTCAGACTTTTTTTTCTTCAATATTAATTATGTTGAGTTCTGTAGGTCATTACAGATTTTGTTATCACCTTTTCCCTCGACTTACATCTTTCATTTCCAGGATCACTTGGCATTGATGATGGAGCTTCTCGGAATGATGCCACGCAAGGTAAAAACAACACATGGCTTACAAAGGAATGAATTTCCCGTTCAACAAAGTTAATATTTGAATGTTTTACGTTGTAAATCATGTAATTTAAGTTATTGTGGTTGTGAATCTCACTGTTCGAGTTTCTAACAATTTTCTTCAGATTGCATTAGGTGGACGCTACTCTCGGGATTTTTTCAATAGACATGGAGATTTGAGGCATATTCGCCGATTACGCTTTTGGCCTCTCAGTAAGGTGCTTATGGAAAAGTATGATTTTAACGAGCAAGATGCTACTGATATGGCTGACTTCCTTGGTCCTATACTTGATTTTGCCCCTGAAAATAGACCCACAGCTTCTCAATGCCTTAGCCATCCATGGATCAGTGCAGGCCCTCTACTGCTCGAACCTTCTGCAACTGTTCACAAACAGTCCATAGATGATAGTACATCTCAAAAGGAAAGGAAAGAGAAGGATGACAGAGAGCCCTTGGAGGCTAGGGTAGGGAATATAGCAATCGATGGGTGAGCTTCAAAGCCATTGAAAGAAATGCCTCCGAAGTTGGAATAACATTTCGAGGAGATCTAGCTTGAGTCGGGGAAGGTTTATTTTAGGGGTTTACTCCAATTTTGTGAGAACATCTTTGCTCATGCACCCCAATTTTAGGGTACATGTTGAAAGCAAAGGCTGGCTCCCATGGTGGATGGATGTAATTTTTTATCACCTTTCCATGTAGAATTTAGACTGTTTCTTCATAGAAATCGTGCTTAAAACTTGTTGGTCAAATTGTTCTTTGGGACATCCGTTGTATGCATTTTATTGGAAATGATTCTTGATATTCTTTTGCTACTATTATTCTTTGATGCTAAGGTAGGTAACTGCCAAAAGTTATGCAATTTGGCACTGCAACTGATAGTTCTAACATGCCATGAAGGAATTGCCGTCATTTTTGAAATTATTTTGTCCTACAACGCTGCAAATCATAGTTATCTTGCCATTTGTTTCTTACTGTCGTTTGTTGTTGTATGGTCTTATTTCATTTGTCCCAAAAAAATGATTCATTGTTTACTCATGTCTGAAAAGTTCAAATTATTGCTTTATTTTTAGTAGTCTGGGGTGATTAAAGATAGTATCTATTTAAATTTTTTTATAATAATGTAGGTACTTGTAGACATATCTGATCGAATTTAGGACCTTTAACCATTGACCTTGGGTTCAAATTAAAGAATTAGGATCATATAATTATAATGTCTAAAGAGTGAGAGTCAGATTTTAAAATTAGGATCTAATTAGTATAATGAATAAAGGTCGATGGCTTTTTCCAAAATTTGTTCATCCCTTTTGGATAACCCCCACCCCCAAGAAAATATATATATTTTCTCCTCTTTTTCATTTCAATATTGAAATTTCCGTTTCCATTTTTTCAACACCTCATTTTCGTCTCCATTGCAAATTTCTGATTCCAGATCGATTTCTCCGTTTCCTTTGAAATAAAAGGAGAGAAAATCTGGAAAACTGAGAGGCAGATCCCAATGGAAGAAGTGGATCTGATCAGTAAACCGGAATGGCAATTCACGGGATGAGAGGGTTCTCGATTTTCATTAGCGACATTCGGAATTGCCCGGACAAAGAGAAAGAACGCGTACGCGTCGATAAAGAGTTTGGCAACATCCGAAACCGCTTCAAAAAGGAAAAGGTTAGAGTTTCAAAGCAATCCCCTACCATTTACATTCCGTGTTTTAAGTTTTATGTTCTTCAGTAGAATCAAAGTGCACATGATTCTTTCGTTCATTATATTTTGTTTGAGAGAAAAGCGTGAAATTAGTTAAGCTGCGAAGTCTACGCCTTTGTAAACGCTATTAGTGTATAAATTTTATTAATGCCGGTATATTATTTACAGCAACTTTTTGCAAATAAATTGTGCATATGTTTTTTTTTGGAAAGGAGTCATCATTGATTCATAACAGTAGTCGCAGCTCTGAGAGTGGGGATTTGTGATCTTCATACGCGCTTACTACCATTTTTTCTGCTGACTAAACCTTTGTGGTAGTCCTATTTTTACATTTTATATCGAGTTTGCAGTAGGATTGGATCTCATATCTTAAGAATTCTAAATCTACATAGTGTATTAGAGAGTACTTTTCTTGCTAATCCTGAGAAACTCTTTACAATTTGAGCTCCTGTTAAAGACATTACATGAAGTAGTGAACCTTCAGAACATGTCTACTGCATGACACTTAGTAGGCTGGGAAATCTATACCATTGCTAAACTTTAATAAAAACAAGCATTTTCAATTATTAGAAGCATAGATCATATAGAGTTGCGAGCAAATAGGTTTCATGTGATAAGTTTCCTCCCTGCTTAATGAGGTATTGGACTTGTCGTGAAGAGTCTGTTCTCACCAGTTTGGCCGTGAAGGCCAGGAAGATGCATGTTCATGCAGAATCACGTCTAACCAGCCAAACACTAGTCAAAACTTTAAAATTGTACGTGTTAGTGAGGATTTAGCCTTCAAAGATGTGTTTTCATAAGTTGATGAACTTATCTATCAATCCCATGGCATATTGGAACTGGAAATTTTCTTTTTGTTTGCATTTTATAAATCTCGCCACTTCTGATAGTTAGAAGTGGTCCCCTCATCATTTGATTTGATTTTATTTTATTTGATGTTAATGTTATAGTTCGAGCGTTTTTCTCTCCCCTCCATTCCTTCAACCTAATGAACATTTCCTCCCACCTTTCCTCAGTACCATAGTTAACTGAAAAGATTAGTTTGTGCTTTAGTATGATTACTGTTAAATTTACAGTATTTTGATTTTTTTCCTTCTCAAGTTTCATATTGCCAAACCTTAAAAATTTTGCCTTGGGAAATTTTCTTTCCTTAGTCATCGCATCATCTTACTTATTTTTCATGTTGGATTTGATGAGTTTCAACACAAATCATATTCCAGTCTCAATAAGAAACATAAATTGAATTTTCTTTTGTTCCAGATTGAGTATTTGCACCAGCTTCCTACATGCTAGAATGTTATGTTCTGCCTTCTTTTACAGGAAACTGTATATTTATTTATTAAGTGCTGTTAGGTGAATCTCAGTGAGGTTTCCATCTCCATGAAAGTAGCCTTGTTGTTTTTACATGAAGTTTCTTTTTTGTTTTCCCCTGATTTCGTAGTTAACTTATTAGGGAGGAGTTTAACTGATCATTCCCTCTAGCAACTTTTTCATGGAACGATTCAGTGCCTTGTTAATGACATATTTTTAGTGCCTTTCCAAGATGAGCAAGCAGTTCTTTATTCAATGTCCATGTTCTTCTGACAGTGGCCGACACCATATGATCAGAAGAAATATGTTTGGAAAATGCTTTTCATTTACATGCTGGGTTATGACGTCGATTTTGATCATATGGAAGCTGTTTCCTTGATATCTGCCCCAAAGTATCCAGAAAAGCAGGTAAGATCCATTTTGTTCTCTTTTTAATTTGATTTAATGTCCTGTGTAGAAGACATTAAATGGAGAGAAACCTGGTGGACCTATGCCCTGGAAGTGACATCCTTATTTAAGAGCTTGAAAGAACAGTAAACAAGAAAAGTTGTAAACCAAGGTCTAAAGTTCTTTTTATCATTTTCTCCTTTCACTTTGAGGAAGAAAGAGGGGAAAGGGCCAACAAAACTTGAATGTGTAAACAAGATAACTTGTTGAAAGATCTCAGCTATGTTTCAATATTTAGAATCTGGACTACCATGAAAGCTTTATTCCTTTATATTCATCTCAGTTATTGCTACATGTAACTAGTTTCCTGCAACAATAAAGCTGGCAAGTGATGGTACTTTCTAAGCACTATAAATCACAATTATTTTATAGAATACCAATCCTTCTAAGTATTTGACTGGGGTGTCATGATATCAATTTAACTATGTATTGTGGAAGCCTGGATTGGATAATATATGGATATCTATGTAACCTTTTCAGATAATGTAGCTTATTGTGTTTATCATGATAAGGATATATTATCACGCTCTAAATGGCTGATATTCAAATCTGCATGTTAACATTTTTTTCTATCAATTACTTTTCTCTATGGCTTTCTTAACGTTTGTTCTATAATTGGCTTCAGGTTGGATGCATTGTGACGTCATGCTTGCTCAACGAAAATAATGATTTTCTGAGACTAGCCATCAACACTGTATGCAATGATATAATTGGTCGAAATGGGACTTAGTGCCTGGCCTTAACCTTGGTAAGGATAAGAACTGTTTGAGTTTCTAGGCATCATCAGTGTAACTAGAATGGGATAGAAGTGTGTAAATTACATCATCGAGCGCCCAGTGTACATACTTAATTCATATGAAAAGTATGATTTGTCTAAAACATGTGATTGAGAATTTTACTTTTTTTTCTCTTTTCTCAAGAGGACTTCATTTCACTTTTCCTGAATATTATTTAACACTTAATGATTTATATCGTAGCTCATTATTTCTACATCTGCAACAGGTGGTTATATTATTATGATTGTTGTTAATCAAATGCCATGAAGTAACTCAGTGTTCTATTGCTTTGTGCCTTGGATGTTGCTTTGTAATCTATAAAGTTTTAGTTATTTATGTTCTGGTTACTCTTTTGTTACCTTTTGTTGGTCTGATTCATGGCCGCCTAAGGATTTCCTTATTGTTTTTGTTTAGGTTTTTGATATTATTGTTGTTGTGACCTCACATCTACCATTTTTCTTGAATTAACTTCGTAGGTTGGGAATATTGGTGGCAGAGAATTTGCTGAATCTTTGGCATCTGATGTTCAAAAGTTAATTGTAAGATCAACCAGAAACTTGTTCAGTTGTACTGCTTCTTTTAGAAAATTATTTTACATATGTATTCTATGTTTCAGTTGCCTAGCAGCTGCATACCACTTGTACGGAAAAAAGCTGCATTATGTTTACTGCAATTGCTTAGGAAAAATCCCGATGTTGTCAGTGTTGAGGGCTGGTATGCTAGAATGCTAACAGTTGTATCCCAATTGACTGTTTTATGATGTTAAGCTGTGCTTATGCTGAATTGCTTTTCTTGCCCTATGTTTTAGGGCGGATCAGATGGCACAACTTTTAGATGAGTGTGATCTTGGTGTTTTGACAGCTTCTATGAGCCTTCTTATTTCTTTGGTATCAAATAATCATGAAGCTTATTGGACCTGCCTTCCAAAGTGTGTTAAAATATTGGAACGCCTTGCAAGGAACCAAGATGTTCCACGGGAATATACTTACTATGGTATCCCATCTCCATGGCTTCAGGTTTGTTTTTCTAGTTCACTCTTATAACTCCAATGAATTTGATGCCTAGATCAGAGAAAAGTCGTTTGCCTTGTCTAATTAGTGTATATAAGTATGTTTCAAGCAGATCTTGTTCTCTTGGATATGTCTACACTTGGTTATTTGATAATTGTGTCCAATTCTTTCCCTTTTTCTCTTATCTTTATGTTAGAGTTGATGACTTTGTTTATCAGTAAGTATCATTGGCTTATATTTGGTAGATTTTATTGTGGTGTTTATCATTCTGTTATAATAAGTTAAGACAATGAGGGTTCTTCAGTATTTTCCTACCATTGATGATCCAAATACTAGAAGAACATTGTTTGAGGTTTGAACAT